AGCACCACCAAACACACCAGCTGGATGCAGGTGAAGAGATGCATGCGCAGCGTGCGGACCTAAAGGATAGAGAGGTCGCTCACATATCTGACAAGGACAACAGTTTCTGCAGGAAGCGCTCAAAAAATTCCCAAATGTAGATACGTATAACCTTTGCAAACTATTTTAGGGGTTTAAATAAACGTTTAGAGGTTGTGTGGGTTAACATAGATAAAGTCTCCCCTAGCTGGAAACCGCTCTGAGGGAACTCAGGCGTTTTTAAGTGTGCAAAACATCTTTTTTGTGACAGACCTCAAAAATCCTGAAACTTCTTTCTGTTTGTTGCTGCTACAGCAGAGCATCTCCATCCTCACGTCTCTTCTGGTCCTTTACTTTGGCTGTAAATGTGTGTTTTCATGTTCCTCTCACCTTGCGTACATAGGTGTGGTCAGGGTGATACTTTGGTGGCATGAGCAAAAGCATCATCCGCTCCGTTAGCTGGATACCGTTGAGCGACATCACTCCCATGTAGAGGAAGATCCCGAAGAGCACGGCGAGGGGGATCTGACACAGCAGGTCGCCGATCACGATCGACAGGCCTAACGGAGGAGAGCGTTAAAGGGTGAAAGTTCACACAGGACAGAGCCACGGGAGGAAAGAAAAGATGAAAAGTCTGGAACTCACCAACTAAAATTGCAACCAGAAGGCCGGTGACCCGCTGCTCCTTCACCTCCTGGATGCGAGGTTTGTCTCCGGGAGCAACGGCCTTACTCATGACAGTGAGGGCGTTGACGTGGGTCACTGAGCGAACGGTCGCAGCGGCCATCCACGGCAAGCCGAACAGAGCTGAGGTGCCGCCCAGCACCACGATCAGAAGCAGGTCCAGATGGAAACCAGAACCTTTGACAAGCATGCGCTCCTTTTTACTAACTATCAGCCTGCAGGAAGCCGGGACAGAGCCAAACGCAAGAAACACATTTCAGATTAATCACATATGATGAGGTACGGCATTTTTTTTTGTGTGTGTGCTTGTTAATGTGCATTTTGATGCATTGCAGAAGCTAAAACTCTAAACACATCATTTAGAAAATAGCTTAAACATCTGATGGGTTGAAACTGGGAAATAGCTGGAAAATTCAATCTTTGCTACGACCACCTTTATTCTTCACTCTGGGCAAACTTACTCCTTTTGTCCTCAACTTTTTTAAGGACACACTGCACACCATGTCAATTTGACTAATAGTTTTTTGCAAACGACCATGTTAGTTTCATAGATTCAACTAAAGGAATCAGAACTAATTGTGTGTTTTTGTGACAGGCTGCTAGTAACAAAATCCCTAAAGATATCATTTCAAACTGGCTCTTTGCTAAATTGTTGGTTATGTGTAGACACAACAGTAGTTCATCCCTTGAGTAAGGAGTTTATTTTATGCTTGAATGACTCATGAGGTCAGTGCTGAGCAATTTAAATAAACAAACAAACAAAATATTCCTCTGAAAATGGTCAGGTATGGAGTGGACTGGACATGAGTGGTAAAAGCAGCCAATGTCCAACAAAACTCGTCCAGAAATCTTGGTCAAGACGAAAAAATGATAAGAAATTCTGGCTCCTTGAAGAAAAACAAATAAATGAGCAGTGGTTAAAAGTTTAAACTTGTGCACGGTACTGTACATCACGACTGAAATACACAAAACTTCCAGAGAATCTCCTGATTCAATAAAATGTTGGTCACTAAAGAACTCGGCTGATGTTTTGTTGCTGTAGTTTACTTTACCATTTCAGTTATGGTAGAAAATAATGGAAATAAAGGAATACTGCCCCCAGCAGGCCATTTTAGAAAGTGTTAAACTGAAATAAATATATTTATACTTTAATATCCTGCATAAAAAAAGCTGAGTGACATTTTCCCCGTGTTTCATCTGTTACATTATCTGCCTTCTTTCAGTTACAGGGTGTTTCTCTGTTTTTGGAAGGAGATTATTTAATGTGCAGTCTACTCTGTACAGCTGTGTTTAATTTAAAAATGATCTGGCTGTTTAGAAATATCAG